TCAGATCACCTCCTTTGGCACATAAACCTTAACTACATCTCATTCCTACAACAAATAAGCAAACTTCTTCTCATAATCTTTATCTACCACGGTATTAATAATTGTGGTCTGAACTGTTGCTTTGAAAAGCAGACAATGATTTACTAAATGCCTTGGCAGCAGACCTTGGTGTATGGCAGGCTTGTGTTCTGAGTCTCTGTCAATTTGTCAAAAACGCGCTGTGCTGTTCGCTAAATGGTGTCTGAGGCATCTGTTAACGGGGATGGAAGCGCTGAATGATGAGCGGCGCTGGTCGGGACGGAGGAGGAAAGGAGATGCTGGGTATCAAAGTGAAAAGAGGGGAAGGCATGGAAGGAGGTTGATCAGCAGATGTGTTCAGAGAGGAGGAAGGGTTTTTGGCACGGAGCATCATCTTCCTCCCACTGGGCGTCATTACAACCTCAGCCTCTGATCAGTGGTTTTAAAGACTCCACAGGGCCTCACGCTGTTAAGCTGATCCAAAAATACACAATGATGACGCGTGTAAATAAAAAAAAAAAATAAATAAACCTTTGTTTTTGCTTTTATCCTCTGAAATCTTTGTAACTTCAGTCAGTTAATCCTCAAATACGGAAACAGAAGACATGCTGGTGTTACAAGTTTTCACATTAGCTAACGTCTGAAGGACAGATTCTTCACGGAAGAGCAAATGTTCACATTCTGACACAAACCCAAATGGACTTCAATCTTCAAACTGTTAAAATATTAATGAATCGCTGTGTCTGCATTCAATAAGTACTTCTTTACATTAATAATATCAAACATCTCACATTGGTCAGTGCCTCCAGGATTTTGTTTGTTGTGTTAATTTTTTGCAATCAAAATCACAAATTTTGTGGTTCTAAAGTTAGAAATATTTGCAAGGCATTTTGCAGAATTTGCCCTTATGTGTTACGTCAAACATGACGTTTTGTTACTCACCTTATCGATCAGGACTGTAACATCACATAAGGCTGAGGCAGCAGAATAAATACTGCCACCTGCAGGTGAGAGTCATCCTTTAAACCAGGGGTCCCCAGACTACGGCCCGCGGACCGGATCTGGCCCGCCTCCACATTTGGTCCGGCCCCCTGAACAATACCAGAAAGCATTCAGATTTTTTTTTTTTTTTTTTT